AAAAATGCGGCGTGATAGAGATGGTGATAGAGATGGGGTTAGGGGTTATGGACGGGGATAATTTAGTGATAGGGTAGAGATAGGGTTAGGGTGAGGGGTTATGGTTAGGGTTACGGTTAGTGTTGGGGTTAGGGTTAGATATTTGGATAGCGTTAGGGTTAGGGGTTAGAGTTAGAGATTGGGGTTAGGGTTGTTAGGGTTAGGATGAGTGATGGGGATAGGGTTAGGGTCAGGGTTAGGGTTTGGATTGGGTTAGGGTGGGGATAGGGTTAGGGTAGAGGTTCTTTTATGGGTTGGTTACGGTTAGCGTTAGGGATTTGGATAGGGTTAGGGATGGTGATTTAGGGGTTAGGGTGAGGGACGGGCTTAGGTTAGTGTTAGGGTAGAGATAGGGTTAGGGTGAGGGGTTACGGTCAGGGATGGGGATAGGGTTAGGTCTACGGTTAGTGTTGGGCTTAGGGTGAGGGCTAGAGATTTGGATAGCGTTAGGGATAGGGTTAGGGTTGTTAGGGTTAGGGTTGTTAGGGTTAGAGGTTTGGATAGCGTTAGGGTTAAGGTTACGGGTTAGGGTTAGAGATTAGGGTTAGGGTTGTTAGGGTTAGGGGTTAGGGTTAGAGGTTTGGATAGCGTTAGGGTTAGGGCTACGGGTTAGAGTTAGAGATTAGGGTTAGGGTTGCTACTGACGGCACGCCATAAATTAACAACTGGCAGACCAAAACTACAATTGTGACGTGAAAAGAAAAAGCTCTGCAGCCATTGCATTAAAGCTGTTTCCCCAGAAAGAAAAATTGCCGTGTTATTATAATTTTCAAGTACGAGTTAGTTGAAGTAATCGAGTTATGGGAATGCATTATCATATTTGACAATGATTTTCATGTGAGACCTCATTTTTTTGTCGCGGCTAAAACATCAAACTTTCTCAGCACGTACAAAATTTACTGCTTGCTTTTTGAGTGGCTGCTGCTTTTTGCTGCCAAGTTTCCTTTCACAATTATTTTTTGGATAACGCTTCATGCCAAGTTTTTGTCGCAAAATAAAATCACGTCAGACGGGCTTCACTGAATTTGGCTCGGTATCAAAATTGTGTTTTGCTCTTAGAATTTTTCTTTTCAACCGGCCCATGTTTGCGCCGTTGACTCCCACATTCTGTTAATGGTTCCTCATTATCGGTGTAAATACTCACACTTTTGTGAACAATGGAGCCTTTCCTGAGGAGTTGTCCCAAGGTAAGTCCATTTCGGACACTCAGAGTTTCATAGCTTTCAATACTATGACGTCTTTGTTGCTT